ACAGTTGAAAATTTTCATTACCTAATCCTCTTTGAAGTCTTACAAAGAAAAAATCCCTTTTAAGATAGTGGGTTCCCCTTCGAATATATAAGCTAAAATGTAAAAGGAGCAATTCTAGAATGTATTTTACCATAATAATAATAATATGAAAAATCATAGTTGAAAATTTTCATTACCTAATCCTCTTTGGAGTCTTAGAAAGAAGAAATGAATTTTCATTACCTAATCCGCCCATCCTCTTTGAAGTCTTACGAAGTAGAAATCAATTTTCATTACCGAATCCGCCCATCCTTTTTGAAGTCATACAAAGAAGGAATCCCTTTCAAAGATAGTGGGTCCCCCCTCAAATACATAAGCTAAAATGTAATAATAATAATCCGCCCATCCTTTTTGAAGTCATACAAAGAAGGAATCCCTTTCAAAGATAGTGGGTCCCCCCTCAAATACGTAAGCTAAAATGTAATAATAATAATAATAATAATAATAATAATAATAATAATAATCCAGAGTGTATGAATTCTTGCGCTGTAGGTGGATTTACTGAAGATAGAACAAGCATGGAATTAAAGTTGGAGATGAATTTTTTCATATTGAATGTGTTGAGTTCATGTTTACTGTAATTTGGTTGTTATACATAATTTTAATTTCACTTAAAGAATCATCCTCTAAATTATTGATTTTTGCTGCACATTTTTCTTTTCTTGTCTTCAAACAAATCTGGCGTTTCACCATAAAATGTTTGCATAAATTCTGTCCAGATTAAATTGTGTAGTGACCTTTGTAGAACAAATGAGGCAGGTGCAGCTTGTGGTCCAGCTGCAGCTACTGTGCCCCAAGAAGGGATTAGAGAAGTTGACTCTACAGTAGCTTAGTGATTTTGCAGCTTCTCGTCTCTGCAGGGTGTGTTGGAATTATTGTTAGAAATGTGGCATTCAAATCTGCAAAAATGATGAAATGAAACTGCCATGAAATGGCAGCAATGAGGCTGAAAATTGACAGCAAATGAAGCTGCTATTTGACAGCAAATATGGTAGCAATTTAGCTGCAAATATGATAGAAATGAAGCTGTCAAATGACAGCAAAAATGTGCAGCAAGCTAAGCTGCAACTGTTGATGAAATGAAACTGCAAATGAAATGTAAATACAAATGCAAATGCAAATGCATCTGAAGGGCTGCAGAGCTGCCAAAGGACACAAGCATATGGCAAAAGTGGTTGTTACTTATTTCAAATTTCAAATATAGTTTTAACCGTTGCTTTTTATGTAGAATAGTTGCTTAGAGATAATACAAAACCTTTTTAATTTTGAATTGTTTTAAAGTTTGTATTCTACTCTATATAGCAGAGATTGTTAATGAAAGAATCTGAGTTGGAGTGTTATACTTCTCTCTATTTTAGTTTATGTTCTCTGCTCTTCGTCTTCCTTCCGATTTTCTCTCCAGTTCTTTGTTTGAAAGAAAAAAAAAAAAAACAAAAGGGTGCCGTGCAGCTTCATTCATGGCATATAGGCATCGTGCCGAAATAAGGGATTAGAGAAGGTGACTCTATCTTAGTGATGTTGCTACTTATCGTCCCTGCATAAAGTGCCTCGGAGCTTCTCTCACATCAAATTGATTCTGTGCCCAAAGAAGGGATTAGAGTTAAGACTCAAAAGTAACTTTAGATCTGGAGAAAGTACCAAAGAGTACCCACGGAAAACAGACTCTGTGCCCAAAGAAGAAGGGATTAGAGAAGTTCATACGTACCCTAAAATAGACTCGATAAAGTCTTCCATTCATTGGAGGAATGCTTTATGGTACTTCTCACCTCGACTCAAGAAGTAGATTTTGTGTTGCTTTCAAAGCGGTAGAAGGGTTTAAGCTGCATAAATAAAGGTTTAAGTTTCTTTATTGAAGTTGCTTTGCTAAAAATGTATCTGTTCTAATCTTTATCAGTTGATATTTTCTGCTTAATGCTTGTTACTTTAGAAACAAATTGCGTTGTTGATATATTTTTGCAACAATCTCGCAAGTATTTATTCAAGATCTTTGCTCTGTACTCCTTTTTAGGCTCTTAAATGAATACATTTTCATTGTTTTTTAATTAGTATAAATTTCCTTGATTTGGAAAATCACAGTTTAAAAACTTCATTACCAAATCCTCTTTGAAGTGTTCTTATAAAGATGAAATCCCTTTTAAGACAGTAGGTGTTCTAAGATAGTGGGTTCACACCACCCTCTCCCCACTCCCTGGTAAATAGAAAAGTTAAAATGTAAAAGATCAAATCTAGAATGTGGGAGTGAAGAAGAGTCATCTATTTTAATTCTTGCGTCTTTCTGCACAGCAAATTGTGCGGTTAAGACCTTAGGAGGAAAAACGAGGCAGGTTCCAAAGGGGCAACTACTTTGACCGAAGAAGGGGTTAGAGAAGTTGACTGAAAAGTAAAACTCTGATCCTTCTCCTTATTGTTTCTGCAAAAAAAAAAACATACCGAGGAGCTTCACTCACAGCAAATGAACTCCAAGCCCTTTTTTGGGCTTTAACCTGTATAAATAGAGGTTTAAGCATCCCCTGCTTTGTGTAACACAGCAAACAAATATCATGGGAACCCACACCTTCAACAAGGTAACCTCCCTTGCTTTCCTTGTTTTGTTTGCTTCTTTACATTCTTTACTTCCCCTTGCTTCTGCCTCTAGCGAAGAAGCAAATGCTCTTCTCAAATGGAAATCTAGTCTCCAAAATAAAAGTCAATATGTCCTATCTTCATGGACTCTGCTTCCTCACAATGCAACCAACTCCAAACCAAGTACCAGCCCCTGCAGCTGGTTTGGAATTTCTTGCAATGCCCAAGGAAGTGTTGCTAGAATGAATCTTAGCGTTTCTGGTATATCAGGTACGCTTGATGAGTTTCCTTTTTTGTCTCTCCCTGATCTCATTCATGTTAATTTCCGTAACAACTCTCTGTCTGGGGTTATTCCACCTCAAATTAGTTACCTTTCCAAGCTTGTCTATCTTGATTTTTCCACCAATCAGTTTTTTGGGACAATCCCACCAGAAATTGGCCTGCTACAGCATCTTGAGAACCTCTACCTTGCTGAGAATCATTTCAATGGCTCATTTCCTCAAGAAATAGGTCAGCTGAAGTCTCTTAGGCAGCTTGACATGTACACCAACGACTTAGAGGGTCCTATACCTGCATCTCTAGGCAACTTGACCAATCTAACTTGGTTATCTCTCTCTATTAATTCCTTCTCTGGTTTGATTCCTCCAGAAATGGGAAATCTCTCTAGATTGGTTAAACTTTACTTAGACAGCAACAATTTAACTGGTCCTATTCCATCTACCTTCGGAAACTTGAGAAACCTTACCCTATTTTACTTGTATGACAATAACCTCTATGGTCCAATCCCATTTGAGTTAGGATACATGACATCTCTCATCAATCTCGGCCTTCAATCGAACAATCTCTCTGGTGCCATCCCAACATCATTAGGTAACCTAAGAAACCTCGTTGAACTCAAGCTCTATGATAATCAACTCTCTGGCCCCATACCTTATGAGGTAGGAAACTTGAAATCTCTTGTTGAACTGGAGTTGGGTGAAAATCAACTCAATGGCTCACTCCCCTCCATCTTTCATAATCTAACCAACTTGAATATTTTGTACCTCCGTGACAACCAACTTTCTGGTTCCATTCCTCAAGAAATTGGAAATCTTAAGTTGTCTACCTTGGAAATAGACCAAAACCAGTTCACCGGATTGTTGCCACAGAACATTTGTAGAGGTGGATTATTGACATATTTTAGTATACATGAAAACCAATTGGAAGGTCCAATTCCTAAAGACTTGAAAAACTGCACCAGCTTAAAGAGAGTCACCTTAAGGGGAAACCATCTCACGGGCAATATATCTAGTGATTTTGGTGTCTACCCCAACCTGGACTTCATAGATCTTAGCCATAATAAGTTCTATGGTGAACTGTCATCTAGCTGGGGAAGGTGCCCAAAATTAGCCACCCTAAAGATCTCAACCAACAATATCACTGGTAGGATCCCGCCTGAGATTGGAAATTCAGGACAACTACGGGAACTTTACCTTTCTTCAAATGGTATAGTTGGGGATATTCCAACTGAGTTGAAAAAGTGGACTTCTTTGTTTAAGCTTGCTTTAAATGGGAATCAACTCTCTGGTGGTGTTCCTATTGAACTTGGGGAATTGTCCAACCTTGAGTTTCTTGACCTTTCTGCAAA